CTGGTTCGCGACCAGACCCAAGCGACATTTGATGTGTGCCGTTCCAGAAGTCTAATCTGCCCTTTAAGCAGCGTTAGCATTTAAACTACTCAGTTTGTCCCCCATACTGCTCTGTTGTCTCCCACTATCTTCTCCGTGAGAACACTCGACTAATGGGATGAGGGGATTCTGGATCGTTACATGTATGATGTCAGCTCATTGGTCACAACGCAGGACAGGGCCCGGGAATAAATGTACTGTGTATTTTGTAATGTGCCCTTGTTCTTCATTTTCCATCAGCTTTTTACTGACTATATTTACTCTCATAGTAATACGGGAAAAAGTACCTTTTCCACTAAATACGGGACAGGTACTTCTATTTCTAAATATGGAACGATTCCATTTTCCAAGGGATGGTTGGCAACCCTAATCCAGAGTCAGATACCTTCATTCATTACAGTTCTTTTAGATCAGACAAACTAGCAGACGCAGAAAATCAAAACATGGAAACTGCTGGAAATTCAGAAAACAGATTTTCCAACATTTTTCAAATTGTCAGAGATTGTGCCATTCAATGCTCGCCTTTCGAAAAAAAAGGAGTGGCAAGGTGGTAAGGAGAGCTGGCGTGCTGTAACTAGCTCCAGATAGTAAACTTCGAAAAAGGCATTACACAAAAAACAGCTATGGAATCCTGACTCACTAAAATTATAGAAGAACCAGCCCAAAATTAAAAAGAACAGCCTGTTGAAAATAACAACAAGCAGAAGAAATAACAACAATAGTGGCTAACAACAAGGCTAATAGCAAGGCTGTTCTAACACAAGGCTGTTTCTCAATTCAAAAGAACGCAATCATGGACTCATGTTCTCTCCAAATACGTTGTTGAGAAGAACACAGGAAAGTACGGACTATGGGAGAACGGGAGCATGCAGAATAAATCTGGGTTAATTGGAAAAGAAGCGTACTGATGGCATCACCACATCTAAAGCTAGTCTGGAGCCGCATTTCATCTCCTGTTAATAATAGTCTCTAGATCAGGGGTCACTAACGTGGTGCCCGTGGCACCAAGAGGCCATCCAGAACAACTAATCAGTGGGTTAAGTTTGAAATGTTATTTTATTCTGTTGTCCTTCTTTTTTAATCATTAATAGAGCATTCATCATTGTAGGGGCTAAGCTAACGCTTAAAGCCACTGGAGTGTTTTTAAACCGGAATCTTATGGTTGACACGCTTTGCCGGGGTGAGATGGTGAACAGGAAATGTCCAGACGCTGTTCTTGCTGTTTAAAGGCTGATTTATTCCCACTCTTACTGCTTACAAAACAAAAAAAAATTATACAACAGACAGCTGTGAGTTGACACCATTTCCTCGCCAAGCGGTCAAACCGATTTGCCCTTTCCGATTAAACACACGCCCATACACACATCATTTCCCTTCTTTTATAGAGCTTGTACATGGTGGCTTCTACAATCATATTAATCATATAGAGCATTTGAAGAGATTTCAAAATGACAATATACAGTATATAAAAGGAAAAAAATATGTTTTTTTATATTATTTTAGGTGATTGCCATCATGTTCATATTTAATTATTTAGCCCTCAGCCTCAAAAAAGTTTATGACCCCTGCTCTAGATAGTAATAAATTGTGACTTTTTTGATCTAGTGGGGAAATAAGGATTAACACACTCAGATAAAGAAGGAGAACGCTATGTGAGGGTTTGCTGGGAACGTCTGGCAGAGTCCCTCATGAGACTAAGCTTTAACTCCCACCTCTGGGAGAGCTTTGAACACAAATCAGTCCAGAACAGATCAGAAAAACAGAGCAGACAGGAACTGAAAAGTGAGGGGAAGACACAGCGGTTAGTTCAGGCTCAGTGGGAAATTTGACTCGTGAACTTGGAGAAGAGGATTTGGTTGCTGACTCACGTTTCCAGAGAAGTTGTTGAATCCTTGACTCCATTCTGTATGCTGTAGTTCCAGTGTTTGTCTGATTCGATGGAGGGCGGAACAAGGTTTACCTAGAATGCAATTGTTAGTAGGTGAACAGAGAAACTGACTGTCACTCAGATTTCCTGCGGTACTTGAATGTGTCGTAGTGGAGAATAATCCCTTTCTCGGTGCGAAGCTCAAACGATCTCTTGGGGAAAGTGGATCCAAACCTCCTGTTTGAACCCCAGCTCAGTTTGAAGCTCAGTTCATCCTTCCAGGAGGAGAAGATCCGAAATGTCCAGTTTGCAGGATGACTTCCTGCTGAGAGGCAAAGACAAAAACAAAATTAAAACTCAGGTAGACTAGAACTCAGTTTTACTCAGCAAAACTTACAGTAGCTTGGCTAGAGTACCCTAAACTGGCAAACACTCTGGCTCTGGGTTAATTATGGCAACTGTATTAAAAAGATACCTAGGATTATTCTTATTCTCCTCTATTAATCAGGAGAAATGTGCTGCTCTTGCTTTACGAAGGGTCCTCTTATACAGCAGTAAACCATTTTTCCGGACTAAGTAGAATTCCCATAGGTATGTAGAGTGCCACCCCTCTAGTTTCCTAGCATTTTGCTTCATAGAATGCAGCTCTGCAATAAACCTAGTGATCCAGCTTTCTATTTTTAAAGTTTTTCTTTTTCAAAGGGGCTGCGTTGTCTAAGGCATTACACAGAGACTGAGAACTAGTAACCCCATCAACAAAATCATCAACCAAAGGGGAACAGCTAAACATTTGCCCTGCTCAGCGATACAGAGGATAGAGAAAGTGACACAGATTCTTTAAAGTTTATAACTGCACTATCTGATAATGATCTGCCCAAGTGGAACCATCTTTTGGGGGAGGAGAACTCTTATAAAGTAACCCTGAAGGTTATACAATGTGGTCAGAGAGGACAGTATGTGAGGAAATACTGTTACTTCTTCACATTCCAAGCCATATGTCAGCACAAGGTCCAAAGTATGAAGATGAGAATCTGTGGGACAATTCACATTTTGAACAAAGCCAATAGTGTCTAAATGCTGCTCTAAATGCTGCTCTTAAGCTATCGCCTTCAATGTCAGCATGGATGTTAAAATCCCCCACTATGATGACCCTGTCAGTATTTAATACCAAATCAGAAAGGAACTCTGAAAACTCATCTAAAGATTCAGAGTAAGGACCTGGTAGATGATACACAGTCACAAAAAGAAGAGGTTTTGTGGCTTTTTAATTTGGATGAGGGACATTAAGGGTTAAATGTCCAAAAGAGTTGTAATAGTTAACTGCCTTTTTTAGTAATCAGTAAGTCAGACTGAAAGATTGCTCCTCCTCCCCCTCCTCGCCCAGAATTTCTGGGTATGTGAATTATTTTTTTATTTATTTATTTTTTTTAGTTTTCTACGGCAAGAGTGGCTTGTTTTTTCAAAAGTAGACTGACAGGAAAAGGGGTATGAAAGGGGGAGAGACGAGTGGCAAAGGACCACAGGTCGGATTCAAACTCCGGTCAGTTGCGTCAAGGACTAGGCCTCCATACATGGGCTGTGCACGCTAAATTGCCACCTGCTGCCCAGTATGTGAAAATTTAAATAACTAGAAAGAGTTGCCTCATTTATGCTCACATAATCCTCTTTCTGCAGCCAAGTTTCTGTAAGGCAACATGAATCCCCTCTCCAATCCCTTTGATGGCAAACACAATTAAAAAGGTCTCCTCTTCATTAGGTTCAACAATTTATTTCAAAAATATAATTGATACCGATATGAAATATCCATAAAAAATAATAAGAGAAGAAATTTTGTAGAAGTGGGAATATTGTACATCCTTAAACATGAGAACCTTTTACTTTCTGGTAAAAATAGTAACTTATTAATGATTAATTTATCTTAGCTTAAACTAAATTTTGTTAGGACTCCAGTCTGTGTGGTCTGTGTTTTTGTGTGTTTGTCTTCCTTCCTCCACCAGGCGGCACCTGGTTCTGATTCTCCTCCTCACACACCTGCAAGTGGTTACCTCGTTAATGGAGTGCTCTTAAGCTGCTGACTGCCACAACCTCGACGCCAGAGTGTTTGCCAGTTTAGGGTACTCAAGCCAAGCTGAGTTTTACTGAGTCAAACTGAGTATTTGTCAACCTGAGTCTTATTGTTGTTATTTTTGTCTTTGCCTCTCGGCAGGAGGTCTTCCTGCAAACTGGATTTTCGGACCTTCTCTCCCTGGAAGGATCTACTGAGCTTCAAACTGAGCTGGGGTTCAAACAGGAGGTTTGGATCCACTTTTCCCTCAGGAATTGTTTGAGTTTCACACTGAGCAAGGGATTCATCTGCACCACAGCCTGCTCAAGTTCCTCAGGAAATCTGAGCTGCAGTCAGTTTTCTCCGTTCATCTAAAAGGAACTGCATTCTGGGTAACCCTGTCCGCCCTCCACCGTATGAGACAAACACCGGAACACATCCCTCACCTACTGGAGTCTAAGAGTCAACCAGTTCTCTGGAAACGTTAGTCTGCCTACCTTTCCTCCTCTTCAAGTTCGAGAAGCTATTTTCCCACTGAACCTGAACTATTTTTTTATTTATTCGTTTATTTGATAGGGACAAGTATGTTTCATGCATCATGTCACACACTACAACATTTTAGCTAAGGCTAATTCTCAATGTCTGTCCCCAGTTAGGCTTTTACACAAACACAGTGACACAGTTACACAAGAACAACAGAGCAAATTACACATTAAAACATCACAGAAATAAAATCAGGTCAGTTAGGTTATTAATGTTCACATGACTGACCTCTCAACTTCACAGTGAGAATACATACACACATTAGGGGGTAACCGAGGGGAGAGTCCATAAAAGAGATTATTCAGTTTAGTCAGACCCTTAAAAAGTGTTCCAGAGAGGGATGGATATTGTTTTTTTTTTTTCTTTTCTTTTCTTTTTATATCCATGCGGTCCACACTCCTTACCAGTTGGTGGCGGTAATGCTCACCTAAGGTATTTGCCAAACCCTCAATTAGTTTCAAGAAGAAGAAGAAGAAGAAGAAGAAGAAGAAGAAGAAGAAGAAGAAGAAGAAGAAGAAGAAGAGAACAGAATAGAAGAAGAAGAAGACAATAAAAACAGCCGGAGCTTAGAAGATCAAAGTCTCGTTATCAAAGACATTTGGTAATTTCCTCATTTAGGCTTTTTATTTTATTTATTCATTTGATGTAATGAAGTGACAGTGTGATGCTGACTGGCGGTTGTGGTGGTGTTTTAAACCGGAACTGTTTTCTGACGGCTTTTTCTCCTGCTCGGTTAATAAGCTGTTTACCCGCGAGCTTCATTCAGACACATTTTAATTACAGCGTTAAACTAGATTTATTCTGTTTGGATGTAAGGTTAGTTCAAACCGGACTGTTTGTTTTTTCTTTTAAAGCCGCCTGTTCTTATTCTGGTTAAATATTTATATGATCTGTTGTTCATTTTATTCCTTAAAACCTTTTTTTTTTTAATCAAATGTTTTCCTTTGACGACGTCCATAATACTCCCATAATTCAACAGATGACCTTTTATATTAAAGGCTACTATTATTTATTGTTTACAAACCAGGAAAGTGACATCAGTTCCATCTTTATTGCAAGATTGAAAAAAAAAAAACACATTATTGTCTGTGTAACCAGGAGCTGATTTAGGAAATTTGGGGCCCTAGGCAAAGACAGGCAGGGGGCCCTCTGAATATAGGAGACAACACATAGAACAGACCCATTCTCCAGTTAGAGAAATGTTAATAGAATAGACATCCATTATCTGTTCTAGGTTGTGTCCCTCTCTTCTTGTCCCTTTTCTTCTTGTTTTCCTCTCTATGTTTTGTACTCAGCTGACTTTTCATG